GCAACAACAACAACAACAGCAACAACAACAATAATAATAATAACAACAACAACAACAACAACAACAACAACAACAACAACAGCAACAATAACAGCAACAGCAACACTACACAACAACAATCTTTCCACCACTCCCACCTAAAACACACCAAATGACCCAGCTGAATAGGTTTAACAGCTAATCTCCCGTTAAATGAGAAAAGAAAACTATTAGCCTCATTTTGCCCTTAAAAAGTTACGGTGATTACTAAAAGTCATGTACCTTGGGTATCTCCTCTAATGGGTGTCTCACATGACATTTAGCTTCTAGTACATTCCCATTCCCAGCCCCCATTACCATGAAAACGTGAAGACCTTTTTGCAAAATCCTTCTGAAACCATCGGGTATCAAATCTCTCCACATCGGCATATATGTGTGTGGACTTGTGATTAGGTTCATCTTCGAAGAACGCAAGGGGGATCACGTGGTCTAGAAGTTAAGGTGTTTGCCTCTCATTCAATAGGTCCTGGGTTTGAATCCGGATAGCAACGTAAAATTTTCTTCTCTAAAATGTTCTCCTTTTGCATCCTTTCCTGCTCTCAAACAATGTTCTGTCGTCTGTTTTCGTCCTCACTTCCTGCCCCCACCCCCTCACCTCCTTTGCCCCTTCCTCTGGGCTCCTGACTCTTTCTGAAAGCCTTGTTACTGTTTCTCCATGGCTCCTTCTTACTGTTGTCTTTGAGCCACACCCCTGATCTTATGGTAAGTAAGATCTACAATTCTCGGACAAGGGACAAAATCTCGGAGGTTGCGTGTGCAGGTTGCGCACGTTAAAGATCCATTGGTGGTTTAAAATCGATAAGAGTAGGCTTAGCCGCCACCCGGGCGAATTAAAGAATTTCCTACTAACTGAAAATGTTTGGTGTGTCCCGCACGCTCATAATAATGACCTTATTCAGTTGCGAGCACCGTAAAACACTTGCAAAAATATTTTAAAGAACGCAAAACATCTATCTATCTTTCTATCTATCTATATATATCTATCTATCTATCTATCTTTATATATATCTATCTATCTACTTATCTATCTATCTATCTAATAGGCCTTTATGTTCCCAAGGTGATGGATGTTGGGAATTGGAATGTAAACTTTATCTTGTGTCTCTAGTTTTCCTGATACTGGCAGAAATGTCAAAGGAGCATTTCATTGAGACTTGTCTAACACTGTGTCGTTGGGAGCATAAAACAAATTAACTAATATCTCGCCTATCAGTTTCATGATTCACTTTTTTCTCCAC